GGATGCGAGCCCGTCTTCACCCCGCCTCCTCCTCCCAGCCCCAGCGCACGGGCTACGCCTCCTCCTCCTCTCACGGCACTTCCCAGCGCCGTTCCCCTTTCCGCGGTCGCCCCCGCTGTTCCACTCAGCAGGGCCGCCACTTCTCGCGCCGCTTCAGCTCGCTGGAGTATGGTGAGCGGGACGCTGTTGCCCCACTATCATCTGAGGGCGACCACAGCGACGACCTCGATCTCTGCGAGGCCGTCCACTATCACTTGGAGGACTCTACCCTCCCTGCAGCTGAGCGCCTTCAGCTCGCGCTCTCTGCCCTCTCTCGGGCACGCAGCCGCCCCGGTCACGCTGGCGCATCGCCCCCCGAGGTCCCTCAGGAGGACCTCCCTCAGGGCTTCGTCCCTCCTCGTGGTGTCCTTTCCCCTGAAGAGCGCGCGGCTATTCTGGGCCGGCGTGGGTATTTGCGCTGCCACTTGGACGGTCATACCTCCTCACGGTGCCCTTACACTACCGCCCTCGACTGCCACTACGCTGACCTTTCTCGTCAGCGTCGTGCTCAGTCCCCCCCCGGCGCCTCACGTCCCCGCGGCGCCTCCTAGCCACGGTGCAGTGTACACCTGCGCCCTTCTCGGTAGTGGGCTTCCCGACATCTCCGTCGCGGTTCGCCCCTCTCGCTATTGGAGTTGAGGTATCGCAGGACTCGACAGAGTGTACTCAGCCCTCTGTCACAGTACCGTTTGCGCCTCTGCAGACCACCGTCTCCCCTCCTTCCCCGCCGCGACTACCGACGCGTCGAGCCATTCGCTCAGCCCGTTGCAGCGAGCAGCTTGCTACTCCAAGGACGTTGTGTCCACTCTTCTGGACTTGAGCATGCTCCAGGCTCGTCAGGAGCGACTCAACCTCCATGTCGCCTTCTCGCCATCCTCTCTGACCCTGATCGCACCCTCCCGATCATCCCCGTACGACTCGGGACCTCCACGAGGGTGTACTCAGTGCTGTGGGATTCCGGTTCTCAGGGCGACTTCATTCACCCACGCGTGGTGAAGGAAGCCCGCTCACCCACGACAGGGTCTCCGACTCCCATCTCCGTTACCCTAGGGGATGACAAGACCCAACGCTTCTTCGATCAGACGGTCACCGACCTCCCCTTCTTCCTCACTCTCGAGCCGACTGAGCGTTCCCCGACGTCTCGTCGCCACCGCTCCTCTGCACATTTCAATGTGATGGAGATGGGGTACGACTTCATTCTTGGCACTCCGTGGTCTCGTCGGTTCCGCAGCACCGAGGCCGATTGGACGACCAACACTCTCGTTCTCAAAACGAAGTGTGGACAGACGTATCGCGTACCTTTCATAGGTACCACGGCGACACCATGCCCCGATCCTCCTCCCCCGGAGCCTTCAGTGCCCACACCATCTCCCTCTATCACAGTCACCTCGCCTCGGCAGTTCGCTCACTTCATTCGACAGGACGACGTCACCTTCTTTATGGTGGACGTGACGGATCTCTTACACTATGATCCACCCTGTCCCGACGCCGAGYTCATCCCTCTGGAGCCAGATCCTCCCTCTATCTCCATGGCTCCCATCTCTACTTCCGCCCCTCCGCCGTCCGTCGAGTCCACCCCGCCGTCGCGCGTTGACGCTGACGCTGAGGAACTCGCACTATATACGGCTGACTTGAAACCCGCAGTTCGTGACCTCATCCGAGAGTACCACGACGTTTTCCCATCGTCGTTCTCGTACGCCGGCATCCCACCCATGCGTGACGTCGAACACTCCATTCAGCTCTTGCCTGACTATCGTGTTCACCACCAGGCACCCTACAGACTCTCGATCCYCGAGGCCACCGAACTCAAGCGTCAGCTAGAGGAGCTCCTGAGACTGGGTTTCATTAAACCCAGCAACTCCCCGTGGGGTGCACCCGTCCTCTTTGCTCGCAAAGCGGATGGAACTCTTCGTCTCTGCATCGACTACCGCGGCCTCAACCGCTACACGGTTAAGAACAACTACCCCATGCCTCGGTCCGATGAGCTGTTTGACCGCCTAGCAGGCAACCGCTTCTTTACGAAGATTGATCTTCGTAGCGGTTACCATTAGATCCGCGTCGCTGCAGCC